TATTGAGAGGATGCAATCAATGTTTGGTTATACTGTGTCATATAGAAAAGCATGGAAGGCAAAACAATTAGCAATTGCGATTGCTTTTGGAAATTGGGAGACCTCATATTCCTTGCTCCCAAGATGGTTAGCTGCAGTTCAACACTTCATGCCTGGGTCATGCATATATTTTTCAAACAAACAATACTCTCAAATCAATACAAATGGTCAACCGATTGAAATGTTTCATCGTGTTTTTTGGACATTCAAGTCATATATAGATGCATTTCTATATTTAAAGTCCATTATACAAGTTGATGGAACATTCTTATATGGAAAATACAAGGGCGCATTGCTTATGGCAATATCACAAGATGGCGATCGAAATGTTGTGCCACTTGCATTTGCTATAGTTGAAGGGGAAACAAGATCTGCTTGGGCATGGTTCTTACACCTTGTATGCCAATGTGTTGTAAAAGATAGAACAGGAATTTGCTTAATTTCAGATAGACATCGTTCAATTTTTTCTGCTGTTGCTCAACCCCAAGTTGGATGGCAACCACCACATGGACATCATATTTTTTTGTCTACGACACATGACTTCAAATCTTCACAAAGCACATGGAACAAATTGGTTAAAAGAGAAGTTTATAAATATCGGTGAGATTCCTTGTGCTTTTTATGATCTTATAACTATATGATTTTATAATCATTCTAACCAGTGCTAATAATAATATGTAGGGTATGCTTATGAACATGTTGTTGACGGAGAATTAGCAAAAATAGCATTGCGCCATACTCCTGCAGCTAGATGGATCGGAGCCATCCCAAAAGAGAAATGGTCACGTGCATATGACCTTGAAGGTCTTCATTTTGGACACATGACAACCAATCTTGTAGAGTGCATGAATAATGTATTTAAAGGTGTTCGAAATCTACCAATAACAGGTTTAGTTAAGGCAACCATGTGTAGAGTCAATAATTATTTTGTCAAACGTACCCAACAAGTTCATGCTCAAATTATGGTTGGTAAGGTATTTTTCGAGACAATGACAAAGAAGTTAGATATAGCAACGCAAAGTGCATCTGCGTGTGTAGTTTGAGATTTTAACAGAATAGCAACATCATTTGAGGTTATGGAGCCATATAATGTTCGATGTCATCAATTTCGTTGGTGTTGCAAGGTGAATTTGATTGACAGAAAATGTGATTGTGGAGAGTTCAAGCAGAAAAGTTTTCATGTATGCATTTCATTGCTGCTTGTGCACGAATAAGCATAAACCATTTACAATATGTGGATCCTATTTTTCGGTTGGAAACTATGCAAATGGTTTATAATAATGAGTTCTAACCAGTGGGAGATGAGATGTACTGGCCACAGATTGATTGTCCTCTTCTAATACCTAACCCATCAATGATTAGAGATAAATGACGTCCTCGCTCAAGTCGAATACGAAATGAGATAGATTGGACCACACCCAATGAACCTAACAAGTGTGGATTATGTCGACAAGTTGGTCATAACCGTTCTACTTGTCCACAAGGTGTAGCATCTCGACAATAAATTATGTATTTCACTTTTTGTAATAAAAACATTATGTTTTATGAAGATTATATTATAATTAGTTTGATTTCTTTTATGTTATTTGGAATTCGTCCTTTACCTTATACAGAGACATTTTAAAATGGCACAACTTCCAGAAGAGGTGATAAATCCTGGCCTAGAGGATAACTCTCTTTTGTACTTACAAACCCAACATATTTCTGAACATATGTGGAATGATAATGTAAGTAAAATCTATTTCTTATATATTATTTCATTGATGTTTCTATAATAATATTTTTTCCCTTTTCCACTGTAGGTTAATAGGGTCCTACACACTAGACGAGTCATACACGCTAATCAAATAATTAACCCACCTAATCAAATAATTGAATATCTTATATTAGCTAGATTTTATGATGCTGTTCGAGTAGGACAGTTTGATTATGATCGAGGTTTGGTCTCAGCACTTGTTGAAAGGTAGCGTCCTGAGACTCATACATTTCACACTACACGTGGAAAATGCACTATAACATTAGAAGATGTAGCTAAACAATTGGGCCTTCCATGTGAAGGAATGACAGTTATTAGCCGAACTGGCTTTAATTGACAAGACATGTGTGAATGTTTTCTAGGTATTAGACCATCTGCAGATAGACTATGTGGGCAGCGACTGCTTATAAGTTGGTTGGAAGAGAACTTTAATCACCTACCTGATAATGCGGATGATGTATAAGTTCAACAATTCACTCGTGCATATATCCTCAGGTTGATTGGTGGATATCTCATGCCCGATAGATCGGGTAGCAGGGTGTATCTAATGTACCTTCCACTACTTTTTGATCTTCAAGAAGTTGGAAAATATAGTTGGGGATGAGCAGTTTTAGCTCACCTATACAGAGAATTGTGTAATACTACTAACCCAACTAAGGATGGGATTGGAGGATGCTTATCATTACTTCATTTATGGGCATGGGATCGTTTTCCTATGCTAGTACCACAACAACCTAGGTATCTAGATCCACAATCTGATATCTACCCTTTCTTACCTCCTTTGGGTTTTAGGTATGCTAAATTTATTCACTAACTATTTGTTATACTCTTATATTATTAAAATTATATAATTTTTAACATTACTTTTTTGCAATAATAGATGGAAAAATGTGAGACAAAACCCACGTCCACTTGCTGCGTCTTTAATCCGATATAGGAGCTTTTTGGATAAAATGACCGATGATGAGATAATATGGCAGCCATATGAATCTCTTTATGTGCGCCAATTGATTCCTGAGTATTGCTTGACAACACCTGAAATTTGGCGTGCTTCAATTCCTTTAATATGTTTTAGTATTATAGAATGACATTATCCTGACCGTGTACTACGGTAATTTGGTCATCAGCAACCAATTCCTTCCATGCCTGTTCATTTGAGAAATTACCACACGATCCAATTACGAGGTAGAACAACTACAAATTGGATTGACAAATACGCAGACTTCATTCAAGCATGAGATAGATGGCCACATGTAATTGTTAATGCTCCTATAGCATTTGATGAACTTGATCGAACATCTCAGTACATGCAATAGTATTGGAGACATACAAGATGATGGATTCAACGTATTAGTGGCGATACAGGTCGTACGGTAAGTTTTTCATTTTTTTCACCATTAATATTATTTCCTTTTACACAAAAAGTGTTATTATCTTATATCTTATTATTTTTTTCAGTTTGACATAGTAGAGGAGCTATACAGGCTTTCAATTAATTCTCGTTCAACATGTCCTAGTTGTGTTGATTATCGAGATAGAGTTGCTCGCGACCAACGTAACATTTTACTTGCACTTAGAGAACAACGTTTTAATGTGAACCCTCAGCTTGTTCCACCAACAATTGAGTTGCTTTAGCCACAAATTCCTCGTGATAGACCGAGCAATCGATGCGGTGGTTACTTGTCTACCCAACTTATCATTGAAAATGAAAATACAAGAGAACATGAACCTTCAATTTTTACTCAGGCTTCTGACATATCACCGTCACCATCACCCCCTTTCATCTCTGTCGATCCTACACAACTTGAGTCTCATTACATGGCACCCTCATCATCATCCCCTTCCAACTCAGCCAATCCTTCTCAATTTCAACCATTCATGACTTTATTAGATAATCCTGCATTATTTTCAGTTGAATACAATGCTTCTACTTTTGAACATGGTGGACCATCAAATGAAGCATTTGTCACTCCTCGACAATCTATACATTTAAATGAATCACCTTGGTTTGATTTGAACACGCCAACTACACAAACAAATGAGACATTTGAATCTCAAGAAATTGACATACACCAACAACGCCCACAACGTATGAGAAGAAGGCCAAGATATGATATAGGAAGTCACTATTAGTAAGGTGGATAATTTTTTCTTTATAAACTTAAACTTTATTTATTACTTTTTATTTTTAATCTTATACTTATTTTACAATTAGTTTTAATATCATTATAACATTTTTCTCTCATTATATAGTCATGATTTTGTCATTCAAATGATTGATAAATTATTATACTAATCATTTTAATCAGGAGAGAAGGGGAGAAGTCATTCAACAGCAGATGAAGTTTTGAAGTTGTTCACCAGAAGAACGATTTTCATTCACCTCATGCACATCAAGGACAGATTATGAAGAAGTTGTTCACAAGATAAATGACTTTAAAAATTATTCACTTGAAACCTGATTTTAAGTGTAATATATTAGTAAATATTTTTAAAAGTGCAGCATATTGATATATAATTTTACTGTTTGTAGTATTTTGGTAAAAAAGCCTGTCGTGTGGCATTTGTTCGATTTGACAAGAAATCAAGTATTGGGCATGGGCCTTTTATACCTGTGACCAAAATAATAATAATAATAATTTAGTCTTACAAATTAATTGCTACAATTAAAAATTTACAATCAAAACATAACTTTTCTTATTATGTACTGTTTGGTATGAGAAAGATAAAAAGAAGAGGAAATGATAGAAAATTTCATCAATCTCTATTTGAAAAAAAAAATAAAAAAACTGGGGTTTTCAAATTTTAATCCAATATAAGTCAGATGAAATAATATTTACTATAATGTTGTAGCCTCACGGGAGCATCGTCGTGCATGCAAGGGTGAAATCGTTCTTGGCGTGAACGATTTCTAAAAACGATTTCACTTTTTGATTTAAAAAAATTTTAAAAGTGAAATCGTTCACGTCAAGAACGACTTGTATATAATTTGAAAGTCATTTTTGTCAAGAACGATTTTAAATATAGTATATTAGCAAATAGTTTCAAAAGTGTAATATTTTAGTAAATAATTTTCCTGTTCATCATATTTTGGTAAAAAAGCCTCTGTAATGAAATTGTATGTTGAATTGTTGATTGGAAATGACTTGGGGCTGGCAAGCGGATATGGGGTAAGCGACGCTGTCATATGACGATGTGTTTAATAAATCCAATTGGCAATTGTTGATTGGAAAACTAGATGAAGTGCAGACAAGGAACTGAACTGAAGTTAAGTTTTCTCCATTAAATTAAAATATCCCCCACAATTGAACGACTCCCCGACCACCGGAATCAACCGCCGCAAAATCTCTGCCCAAAGCAGAGTAGCGCCAAGGACGCAAGCGCACAGTCATCGGCCATATCTCCGATCTATCAAACGCCAAGGGTGTTCCAACAGAAATACTCACACGACTTCACAATCGATACTTCTGGCTCTTATCTGACACGCCTTCATTTCTTTGCTTTCTCTTCCCCAGTAATTTCCCATTGCTCGCTCAATGTTTCGGTTCCTGGGTTCAGGGGAGTACTCGGAAAAAATGCACAGCACGAGTGATCTTTCATACCATCAAATCTGCTAACACCAAGGCAATCCATCACATCAAGGCTAACTAAGGCAGTTGAAGCTTCCGCCATTCAGGCCTCGGCTTCCACCGTAAGCTTTCTGCCACTTTTCTATCCCGTCGATTGCTTCTTTTCTACGGTGCTTGGTTTTTCCGGATCGTAATTCTGATTTCTCAATCAACTACTCATGATTCGGGAATTTCTGGACGCTTGAGAAGGTAATCTTAGCTGTGTACATCTCTGTCAGCTTACTTAATTCATCAATTCCTAGCTCCACATATTCGATTTCCTGTCGTATTCACACTAGGCTTGTCCAAGTGATCTTAAGAAAGTTTTTTCATCGTCGCGTGATCTTATAAAGATTATGTTTGATTGGCCGATAGCTATATTTCCGTTATATGACTCAAGTTCATTTGCCAAGTTTTGGTTATAAAAGGAATACTGTTGCTCCAGGCTTATCAGAACCTCAATTTTGTCTGCAGTTCTCTATTTCATTTCTGAACTTACCAATGTAATAGATGGCAGTGCTTTGATTGTATTGATATGCTATCTCTTTCGTTAATTTACTGAAATAACTTGTTTTTCAGGGAATGATTGTTATGTTGTTTTCTTCATTAATGTGAACTATGAAAATCTTTTTGAGAAGCTTTGGTATATCTAAACTCTAGTTTGTTTCTTTACTGCTCGTTGAAATCACTTGTCCGTGCCTAGAACTACTATAGCTGCAAATTCAATTTTGGTTGGAATCCAATCGAACAGATTAGTAAAATGTACAGAATCCTAATGAAATGCCTAAAGAAATCTTGTCAGCCATATCTTTGCCAACAAATTTGAAGATAAAAATGCTTACAACTTTACCTCAGGCTTGGTGCAGAGTATAGGGCCGCAATCGTGATGTTAAATTCAATCAGTTTTTAGAATCCAAGTAACCTTCAGACATCAATATAGTAATTTAATCCAATCCGAAGGCTATTAGGATCAGCACTCTGGTATTTCAGCATTTGCTTTCCTAGTTTTCTTTCTACCTTCATAATTCTTTCCTTATTTTATCTGAGAACTACAGTTAGCTGCAAATTCAATTTCGCTAGCAATCCAATCAAGCACACTGTTTGCTGCAAATTCAGTTTTGGTTGGAAGCCAATCAAGCACAGTAGTAAAATGTACATGGTCATTTTGAAATGCCTAAATTAATTTTGTCGGCCATATAATAACCAACAGGTTGGAAATAAAAAGGTCAGAATGGCTGATGTTAAAATTTTGTAAAATTCAATCTAACTCTATGAATCCAAGCAACTTTTCAAATATAATACAGGATTAGTATGTGTTTTCTTAACACGTTTGAATCGAATCACCCTTGTGAAATTCACAGAAGATGCAAGGGGTTTTATGCAAGGTTTTTTTTTTTTTTTTCCTCCTTAGTTTGATCTAATCCAAAGTAAAGGATTTTATGATCAGTTGTTATGTAATCATAGAAAGAATAAATGATTTGGGTGTAGGGCTGGTTACTAAACCTATAAGCCATGTGGGTTAATAATGGCTCACTAATTCAATAAGGCCGAAGGGTAGTTTAGACAGTCTTTAGTTAGATAACTGATAGGATGTAGATAAATAGCATCCTAACTTTTGTACATAAGTCAGTTGATCATCTAATGAATACTCAGGCAGATTATTCAGTTTCCTAGCTCTCTAGTCTTCTCCTTCTCTCTATGTTCCTCTGATTCCTTCCTCCCTCCTTCCCTTCTTCCTATTTTCTACAATACCACAGTATCAGTCAATCTCTCGTTGCTCCTAAAACAAGATTATACCTGATTTTCTCTTTTCCTTCATAATTTCTTTCTTTGATGTTATGGATATGATAACTGACCCATTTTTTACAGCAATTGCAGGGCTCTTGAATTTGCATAATTTCTTGATTCAAATGTGATGCCACTTGTGCATGTGAGAAGCTTAAGCAATTGAAAGGTTATAAGATGGAAAGTCCCCGCTCTGTCAATAGTCCTAGAAGAATTCTGAGTCTGTCAAAACAGCGTGTATCCTTTCAAGATTCAGATGACAAAACTGGGTTTGGGTTGTCTGGCGAGCATGGACCAAAGCCTTCAGAAGTTTATGGTTTTGTGGGATCCATAACAGTTGTTGTTGCTTCAGGTCATGTTTGATATAATGTTTTTGAAAAATATAGCTTTACTTGTTTCTTTTTATCCTTATTTTTAGTTCCTTTTGATTCTCTGACATTCTTAGAATACTTTCCTGTTTTCAATTGCCATTGAATGATGGTTGATATACCTTGATTTTATTTGCGAATTGTCTGAAATTGTCTTGCAAGAAGCTGTTTATTTTTAAGAAGTCAATTACTCTGTGTTTGGAAGTCAATACATTTATAACTGCATAGATAACTGTGCTGTATATGTTTCTAAAAATGAAATTCGGTTGATCAACTATGAGGTAGTTTAAATGTGCAGTAGTAGCTGGACCTCTTTGTGTTGCATGAAGTTAACCATCTACTTAAAATAAAGTTGGTTTACTTATCATTAGGGAGTTTAGGGGGAGAAAAGGGAAAGGCTCCTTAGAATTTGCAATGTATGCTGATATTTGGTGTCTGTGGGCATGAAATAATGCTGGACTTCATGGGATGATTTGTTTTAGCTTTGTTGAGGGCCATGAGATCTTCTAATCATTTGAGAGAGTTTCTCTGTTAGACATATTGAGAGACTGTTTGTTCCTGTTTAAGAAGTTAAGGTATCCTTTGTTTTGGTACTTCCTTTATACTTATCTCTATTAAAATGACAGTTTCGTTTACTTATTGTTATATGAATTTACAAGATGGGTGGTGGAAATGAAAAACAACATTAGAAGTTATTTGTGATCGCAACGTACTTACTGGGCTGAATGTTAAGTGTTGAAGGGACAACAAGAGTAGAAAGTTGAGATAGTGGAGATAAGGATATTGAGATAGATGTATGGTCATATAAGAAAAGACAATATGAATCGGTTAGTGTGGCATCTGTTGAGAAGAAAATGATAGAAGATTGTTTAAATGGTTCAAACATGTGCCCGAAGGCTGATGAGCACCAGTGAAGAGGGTTGCATAGATGATTTTTACTCTTTTGTCATACGTCGACTTATGGTTTTGTCACTCAATATTCTGGTGATCTTTGTTTGGAATTTTATGATTTTTAAATGTTTTTTCAATTTTCTTTATGAACAGTTATCTTCTTGATATGGGCGTATGTTCCTGAGCATTGGCTACATTCTATTGGGATCACATACTATCCTAGCAGGTTAGAAAGCCTGATGCATGATATGATTGGAAGCTTATGTCACTTTCAGGATTCCCTATGCTACATGTTGTAATTTGGATGAATGACAAACTAAAAAAGCCTGCTGCATGATATGATTGGAAGCTTATGTAACCTTCAGGATTCCCTATGCTACATGGAATAGTTTGGATGAATGATAAACTAACAAATTCTTTGTAAATAATCTCATATAAGACACATTTTGAAGTGGTTTTCTTTGGTTTTATTAAGGTAAGCTTCATTAAATTAACGTTCATTTAGCTGTTACATGAAGTAGGGCTTTGGGTTATGAAAAACTTGGGTCTCAACTCCTTTTTCTGGGAGTACTTTGTAAAGAAATACATGAAAAAGCATTGTCAATTCTGTTTTTTATGACGAAAAATATGCAGAATTTTAATCTTTTACTTTCCAGATATTGGGCTCTGGCTGTGCCAACGTATGTTATGGTGACCATTGTCTTAGGACTGGGATTCTACATTGGCCTCAACTTCATGTCAACACCTTCCCCTGCATCTTTGAACACAATCTATGGTGAGTTCCATGTTATTTTCTTTGGTGATACAGGCCTTTCTCCCTCATAAGCCTTTTGCCCTCGTCTGCTCAATGGATTACTCTTTGAGTATCTTGGGCATGTCAACAATTTTGACTGTTTGTTTTCCGACATAAGAAAAAAGGGATTCTGTTTTAAGGCCTTTTGGCAATGGAGGGTTTTATTTGGATTTTTCTGTTGTTAACACTTCCGTTGGCCATGTGATCCATTTGTTAAAATTTCATGAATAATTTTGGCATTTCTTAACTCAGATGAATTCAGCAGAGATCCCTCTTGTATTAATTGCTCTGGAGAGGGAGACGACAAGCCCATTGAGCCCATTTCAGATATTGATATCTGCAGAATCAACGATATCATGTTCAGAGATACAACCTCGTAATCCTTGGGGCATACTTGTCTTTGACGCTATGGTGGATTTTACCTCAAGCCAGGGGTGCCGCTGATTTGGCTTGTTGCATCTGATGGTTTCAGTGGTTAGACATGAAGATTAAGCTTCTCCATCTTTAGGACAGATTGGTTTTGAACCTGCTATTAGAATCTTTCTATTGCTCGAATCTTGTAATTTCTGTTACAAGCTAGTCTTGAGCATTGAGAATAACCATTCCGTATTCATACCCAAGGATTGCAGGTGTCTGGGCTCCTAGGAAGTCATAAGAACCGAGGGATTGTTTTGATTAACACATGTAAAAGTGACTTATTTCAATTGACTTTTACAAATTGAAGTTGAGCGAAAAATCAATAAGTGTAATGTAATGTATAAAAATCAGTTTCAGATGGCTTAAATAATTCCTATGTATTTGGATGTTCATCTCACTACACAACTAATTGGAAAATTATTTATTACTTACGTGATTATATCATATTGTTATGAATATTAAGAGTTTTCTGCGTATGTCTATTTCTCTTCTATCGCTTTATTTAAGCAGCTCCTGCTGCTCCTTCACTGTTTCATTATTTTTATAGTTTAAGTTTCATTCACATTCATAAATTTTATTATCCATTATACTAACTCTCATTCTTAATATAAGAGCTATTTAACTAATTAAAAAAATTAGTTAAGTTAGTTATTTGTTATAAATATGAGTTAATTTTTTAAAATTATTTTTTTAATCATTTATCTTTGGATGAAACTTCCTTGATATGTGTAATCAATAAGGATATGTTAGAAAGTAAATTATAAATTTAGAAAACAAAATAAATTGAAATCTTATATTTATGATCAAGTCAAATTTTCAACTTATTTTTATATTAAAGATTGAAAGTAATATATCATTTAATTTAAACTATATTCCTTGTAAGCCAAACACACAATAAAATCTCATTCCCAAGGCCAGTCAGCCAATGGCCTTTTAGCTTTAGTGGTATACTGGTTGAAAGCATTTTGATAAATGAAGAATGTGGGTTCGATCACGCTTAGTTGTACTATCATACTATTAGTAGCTGCCTTCCATCTAATAAACTGTTGGTTGAAATAATAAGTGGTTTTAATCTCATAAAGATAAAAACATAAGTTTGCATATTGAGAAGCATACTTACTAGTGGAGTTTCAATTTTAACACTCTTGATTTGATAGATATTAGTCTCAAATCTAAAAAAAAAAATTTTTTTTTGCTAAAGCATAGGTATCCTTCTATTGGAGGAAATCATATTCGAGGCACTGTCGAATATTAAATGTGGACACCTCTCCCAGCAGGGATTCGAATTTTGGTTCATTATGTTGTGGGAAACTAACCTCTTCCGCTTAACTCAACTCCCGTTGGTAATCTTAAAAAAAAAAAAAAACCTTAGAAATACTAAGTTTGTACCCAAAACAAAAATATCTGCCTTCTAATATTTTTTTAATTTAAAAAATTTCCGAGAAGCCGCCCCGGCCCAGATCTTCATGACACCAGATTTATTTTGGCCCGATTCCACACTCTAAAATCTCAGAGAACTATACCCCGATGATCTAATTCCGAGAACCAGTGTATGAATATTTGAAGAGCCAACGTCATTGCATTCTAGACTTTGCGAAAAGTTCCATTCCGGTGCCACTCAGATCTGTTGGGAGTTACCCATGGCGGATTATCACTTTGTATACAAGGATGTTGAAGGAGCATCCACGCAGTGGGATGACATCCAGAGAAAGCTTGGCAATTTACCCCCAAAACCACCTGCGTTCAAGCCACCACCGTTTACGCCTGCACCAGATGAGGATTCGGTTCCGAAAGATAAGGCCTGGATTGATGACAAAACGGAACAAGAACTCGAAGAGCTTGAAGACGATCTCGATGATGATAGATTTCTCGAGGAGTACAGGTAGGTTGGTTATTGATGTTCGATTTATAAAATATGTTGATTTCCAGAAATTTAGCCAGTTATTTATCAGATTTTTTTTTTCTTCGATGAGCGGAGGGAACTTTTCTCTGCTAAGAATATGAAAACTAACGTAGATGGATACAATTTGAAATCCTATGGCTCTGTTGATTTAGTTCATCATCAAATGCATGCTTTTCATTTTCGCTCTCTGTCTCCTTTCTTTTCTACTACCACCTACTTAGCACGCTCTTTCAGTTAGATGATAGTGTTTGGGCTATTTACTGTCTTAAATGTATATTATTTCTTGGGTTCTGGGAAAAAAAAATTGTTCGGGATTATGTTCTGTTCAGGAAATAACTTCTAAATTTTCAGAAGGCTACGTATATCTGGCTTATTATCGTGCTAATTTCTGCCTATTGATTCAAAGTCGTTTTACGTCTTCGAGGGAACAATATATATGTAGGACAAAAGGAAAATCAGGTCCTGCTTTTGTTTTTATGTTCTCATTTGATTCTCGTTCTTTGATAGGAAGAAGAGGCTAGCCGAGATGAGAGAGCAAGCTAAAGTTTTGAGGTTTGGATCAATAATTCCGATTTCAGGATCTGATTTTGTTCGAGAGGTTTCACAGGCTCCACCTGATGTTTGGGTTGTTGTACATCTTTACAAAGAAGGGTATACTTTGAGGCATATTTAAATTATTTATATCATTTCAAATGTATGACTTGATAACGTTCTTAGGCAACTGCTACCGGGTCCTCCAATTTAATATGACGTGAAGAAACTTTTTGCAAGGACCAATTATCCGGTGTTAAGCTGTAAAATATGTTTACTTGTAATGCATTGTTGGAAAATTAGACTAAAAAAACATCTAAAAGCTGTTTTCAAGTTGAGAATGAAGCGTCTCGTGTTGACATTAATTTTACTTCTATTTTTAATCAATTTCATGGCAGAATTCCTGAATGTGGGCTTCTAATGCAATGCTTAGAAGAATTGGCTACAAGATACCCTGCAACAAAATTTGTCAAGATAATATCTACTGATTGCATTCCAAACTACCCAGATCGTAATCTCCCCACTTTGTTGGTTTACAACAATGGAGCAGTTAAAGCTAATTATGTGGGTTTGCATGCTTTTGGGCGGAGGTGTACTCCCGAAGGTATTTAATTTGACTCTGGATGCATATGATATTTGTTTTCTTGCTTTGATTAGTAGTGCTCGAGTGTATTTTATTCTGTTAGTCTGAATTCCGAAAAATATGTCAATTGTGTCATGAAACTCTTTTTCTTTGTTATTTTTATTGCATCAGGAGTGTTCGAATTTTGAATTTCTACACATATCCACTCCACCCTTACCAGCTATTTTTAGGTGGCTTGAAACATTCCTATTTAATTGTTGATTTCTTTTATTACTTTCCAATTGAGAAAACTTCTTCATATTCATTTTCTGAATTATGGGCCGGTGCTGTCCTTGAAGTGTTTGACGGAAGGGGAATGACGTTTATAGATGACTTATTGGAAGTAGTTGAAAGGTTCCATTGTGAAGTGCACTCAGCGCCGTTAAGAAATTGTGTGATTAAACTAATATCTATGTCTATTTAGCATAATTATAGTTGGATTTTCTTTAATCAATATAATTTATATACTGTAACTGTATGAAAGAATGATTAAGTTTTCCTGTACCAGTATTTATTTGTCGTTAAATTCCTGGTACAAATGAGTGAGTATGTGAACCATGCCTCCTGGCACCACATCGCTTCCTGTAAAAACTTGCATCCTGAAACGTCAAAAGAATCCAAAGCGCCAATATATTCAAGTGTCACATTGCGTCTAATATGTACATACGACGTGTATTGGTTGCAAATGCAGATTATCTTTCGATGATTTCAGGTTTCATAACTTGTTTCTGTTCCTTGTCTGTTGTCTATACAAGAATCCTTAAGATCATATACAGCTGACTGAATGTTATGTTTTCCACCCATACTAGTAGTATGCATATGGATCCACTGATTGGAAAAATGCATTTAGCTGAGACATATCTTCCCATCTTTATATTTTTCATGATTCTCTTTTTTAATCTGCTCCCCTATTCTACTAACTTGTTTTGGTGAATCCTTTGCATGTTCTGGTGGAAAAATAGGTGTTGCATTAGTACTGTGCCAATCAGATCCTGTGCTAAACGATGGCCAGAGTAGGGATGAACAATCAAGAAAAGCTGTCATTGATGGTGTTCGCAAAAGGTTCATTGAGAAAGTTGTCGCTGAGCATGAGGAGCGTGATGATGGTTCCTCAAGTGATTAGCCTTGCCTGTGTTCCGTCTTCCAATGGTAGACATGTTTATTTTCATGAAGAGAAGTAATATGTTAGGGGAATTTTGTGCCTTCCGCAATTTGCTTCTCTTTCTATGCTCTTCCCGTGTTCCTTGTAATTGTAAAATTAAGTAGTATTTTTCCTGATGTGTGATTCCTAGTCGTTAGATCCTAAATTATTCCAGGTCTGTGAGTGCATGTTGGCTTGTTCACCATTATTAATTCTAGAATGTGTTTGAATGGATGGGAAGGAGTGGAATGGCTAAATGGTCTAAATCATTACATAGCCAAACCAACAAACCACCAGCAAGCCTTATATGGCTACATGGATCCATGGCATTTCTATCAACAACCAAATTTTAAGATGAGTTGTTAACCATAAAATCCTGTTTAAGTGTTTTTCTTGATCTTGTTATGCCCTTGTTAAGATTTTAGACTGGCTGGTCTACTTTCTTTGCCGACACCTCCAATAGTTTTTTATGTATATGCCCAAACCTCGTCAAATAATATTCAATTATTTTCTTTTTAATTGACGCCACACTTATACTCTTGCTTTGATATTATTGTTTTAAATCTTATATTCTTATATAGTTACACATTTATCTTTATATTCTTGTTTTTACTATTCCAACCTTGTACTCTTGGTTTTTCTCTAGTGCCTAACATTTATTACATGTAACATGACTTGAAGTAAACTATTACATTACCATTTCATATAATTTATTTTTGTCGGCAACCATATTTTTTATTTTATTTGATTATTCCTTAATCTGCAAACTTGGCTTTATGAGTTTAGGTTTGATTAAAAATACTGTGAGCGAAACTCTCAGCTTTTACGAACAGGTCCGGCCAATTCACGGAGATGGTGTGAGCTCAAAACTCATGCTAACAGTTGCAGACTGAGTAATGTCATCGTGAGTTCGACGTAAATGGTTCGCTCCAGTGCTTGAATGAAAACAAGAGAATTCAATTTCATAGTATCATTTTTTTCTCCAAAATATAACGCGACTGCCGAAAAAAATTGTTAATTTAGACTTAAAAAAGTTTTTAAAAATAAAAATGATCCTGATCTAACCTTCAAACATCCGCCCCACATGGATATACTCTTCCAATGAGTACACTACATATGATACAAAGATACCTTGTCCCTCGCAAGTTTAACAAATAACAGCCAGACCCATATAAATTGGTGAAAATGAAAAGACCGTGACAGTCAATCTAGCTATTAGAATATAGCAGCACATTTTAACTATGGTGAGTTTCAGTCACACCCCAACAGCCCCTATCATCCTTTCTTACGGGAAACGAAGTGAGCAAATTAACAATTTCAAAGCAGCATCAGTTTTCGACTGGACATCACAATGGTCAATAACGTATGGTAATCCTATAGATTAACCTTGTAAATTTTAGAGCCATAATTTTCATTCCCAAGTCCTGAGAAACTGTCAATCTAGTTGAATGGATTTATATAGCACTACAATATTCTATTCCTGGTTAGCTTCAGTCACACCCCAGCTCCACCTCCATCCTAGCCGCCAGTAAGAGGAAAACGAAAATGAAAAAAAATCTGACAAAATTTCTTAGCCACGATGATCAAATAAACCTCCGTATCATACCAAACATTTCATATTTATTCCACCATGGCGTCAACTGCAACATCAGCGTCAGCTGAAACACCAGCGGCTGGCGCAGCACGTTTTCTTTTATTCTTACCTGTAAGGCACGACAAACATCAATCAAACATTGGAAAAGCAGAAGATATGAAATATCACATTGCATGCTCCTGGACAATATTCTACTACTATACAGTTCCATTTCATCTCTCCCTCTTCTTTTTCTTCTTGATTTTAAATGAACAAAATTATGCTCCCGTAATTCTTTACTCGCCAAGGTGAATCTAGTTTATTCCAACTGTACATGAGAGACAACAAAGATATTTTAGGCCCAATGTTATAGGCTCTTCTTTCTCTCAACTTAGGATACATCTAGCTAGCTGGAGACCAAACAGTAACAAACACGACTAAAAAGCTTACCTTTTTGCTTCAGCTGTTTTAGTTTCAAGCCCTTCTTCAAGTGAATCTTCATGGATGATTTGCTACTATTTTGGGAACTCCCTGAAAGCAAAATTGAACATAAGCTTAAGGAAAACCAACAAATATGTTTTCTGCTATAAGCTCAACATGCAAAATAAAACTATGGAAGGCACCCATGTTTTCCCCCATTAGAAAGGAGCCACAGCTATGATGGGAACCATACGGAGTCTGTTTCAAGCTTGGAATTTCTCTCACATGAAAGAAAATTGTAACAACTCAATGACACAGTAAACGTTAATGCTTGATCCCAGAAAATGCTAACCTCGCTGAAGTCACATTGACAACAGAATGCCATAATGACACTTGTTAAAATCAAAGTACAATATCTCGAGGTGCATTATCCACTGTGGCGAGAGCTTTGAGCTAAAGACCATTATTGAACAATCATCATGCACGAACTCTTCAATAGATCTGGCTCAAATCCTCATTCATTAAGAGAGCTTCATTAACCAGAACTCTTAAAAATTTATTATTATTTTGAATTTTATTCCAACACCTCTATGTTCTTCAACTTAAAATGACATCCACAATAGTAAGGAGTGGTAGGGTGGAAGCAATGGGAGACAAAAATATTTATGAGGACTTGGTTTTGAATATCGAAATTCAAAAGCCACAAACTCCGGAGCAAAGAACGGAAGTTGGAAATGAGAAAGCTGATTCTGAAGAAACAGAAGATGGATGCAGAGTGCAATGGTAGAAATGGGACATTTGAAAGCATGATAGGCAAGATAATGGGTAGGATTTCTAAAACAGGACATCATAGCTATCCCCTTTAGGCTTTAGTAGTTCCAGCAAGATAACCCAAGGCTAACAACTTTACAAGCTAATATAGTAATACCATTTAATCGACAACATGAACTTAAGAACACTTCAAACATTGTGTTTAATAATTGTCCTTCGCGAATTCATCAAATGATGGCAATTCTTGAAAGGTACATAATCTGTCCACCGACATATGCAGTAAATATGGATTCCGTGATTTCAAAACATAATCATTAAAACAAAGCAGAAACATAACACCAATGTGTGTTACCTTCAGCTTCAGCAACTGCCATCTCTACATCTTCCATGGTTACCAAGCCCTTCTCCAGAGCTTCCTTTTGATCCTTCAATCAATTCAAACGTAAGAAGAATTAGCTTCTGAAACTTCAAACACAGGATGATTACGCAGAAGTAAAGACGATTTCAGTTTTATGAGGCAGCTAAAAAAAAAAAAACAGAGAAAAGGAGGAAAAGTAAGTACTCGACGCCATTTTTTGAGGAGCTTCCGCTGTCGTTTGCCGGAGATAGAAAGAGGTTGGTGCTTGTTCTTAAGCTTGCCGGTGTTAGGATCGCCATGTAGCTGTCTCTTCTTCTCCGATAGTAGGGCTCTCCTTTTCTTCTGCACCTCATTGAATTTGGCCATTTTGCGTTTGCTGTGTCGCCAAACAACTTCACAAACCCTAAACCCGCTAGCGCAATTAAGCTTCTTCACCTGGACAGTTGTACAGGTTCAGAAATTATTTAAGGTTTTTTTAATTAAAAATTTGAGGCATAGATGTGTCAATTATTTAATACTACTCTCTTTCTAATTATAACTTATTTTCGATATATTTCATACAGATAAAACAAAATCTTAGATTTCATTAACTCTCATTTAAAATTTAACAACTTTTCAGTTTTATCTCTATTTAATATACATTATACTTCATGTAAACAAAGTAATACAATAATAAATAAAAAGTAAAATTGTACATCCATACAAAAAATTTCTCTTAATTTCTTATAAATAGGATAAAAAAATGTCTTCTCTTTTTCCTATAAATAAGATCAGAGAAGTACTTCGATCTCCGAGATTGAGTTCTCTCTTGGCCTCTTGGAAAAAATTAAGATAACAGTCAATGATACAAGTCATTTTAATTAACTTGGAGCTATGGGCCTGTTTGGAAAGGCTTAAAAAATTTTCTATAAGCACGTTTTATGTAAACCGAGATAAAACTTCTCTTACATACTTGCCTCGTATTCTGTAAATCACTATTAAAAAGCTATTTATAAGCTGTTCCAAACAGGCACATAAATTTGTTCCGGTAGGAACCCAGAAATTTTTTTAATGCAAACTTGCTCTACAAGATTATTTTTTATAGTTAAAAATATTAATGGTTAAAGTCATTATTGCTATGATTTTATATTTGTTGGTTGGCAAATTTGCCTCCAAATAAACTTTCAAGTAATCAGTAATTTTAAGTGAAAATTTTCAAAATAAATTTGCGTATTAATCCTATTAATTATAGTAATTGACTTGTTATATATGTTCCAAACTGAAAATTTTTTTCCAACTTTACTCATATTAAACGAGATTGTGAATGATAGATAAAAACACAAAGTTTTATTTAAACATCATAATTGATATATCACCAAAAAAAATCACAATTGATAAGTAAATATTAATTGTTTTTCAAGTTACTCATAGTTTAGATCAAACCAAAGTTTAACTTCAATATAATTCACTCATGTTGGATATATATATATATATATATATCGTTTTATTTTTATTTTTTTGAGAACATCAATTGTTTAATAGAAACTAGTAATTAGTAATTACTTTCAGTTATGAAATTAGAATGTTAAAAAAAATATTATTGTTTCCAATTAATATAAAATGTATGCTAATTATGTTATTATGTTACTATTAAATTTACCACTTCAATTACCTATGATTTAGACCGTATTCTTGCTTTGAACTTTTTAATTAACTAGAGTGGCGCTGGAGCTTGTTGACCAGATTGGTATGAACAAATGTATATAATTGATAACTAAAAAATCACTTAGTACTTTTGGGGAAGGAGTAGTAATAAGTGATCAGAGAAGCAAATCATATGAGCTGAAATGATAAATGTTGCCTGTTTAAAGATTGAAGAAGCCAACAAAACAGACAGGAATCCGGTAACAATACGCGATAGATTTTTCCCATTAAGAATTGTTAGTCAACTACAATGATAGGTACCACATAATGTTCTCCAAAAAGATTATATTTCCTTCGTCTTTTAATATGAGTTAGTTTGACTTTTAATTTGGTTCTAAATATTAAACCACAATCTACTTTATCTCTCATATTTATCCATTTTTTTCAAAAGAATCCTTATAATAGTTACACTTGTTAAATATTCCATGAAATTTAACAACACTTTATTTTTTTAATCATATCATAAATCCAAAGAGAGAAAGCATATGATACAAAAGAATATAATTGTCTGAGAATCATATACCCTAACTTTATACAAATGAATTTCTTTTTGTTCCCTTAAGCATATTATATGCATTCACAAAACTTTTGTGAACGTAAAAGATCTAAATAATTTGCCTGTCCCATATGAACACAACAAATGAATATCAATTTTGCCGTTGGAACTCCCAATGACAAAGCACAGAAACGCAAGTACGGATACTAGAGGCATTTGGCCTCAATCTCTTCAAGCGTAAGGCCTTTGGTTTCTGGCACAACAAAGTATATAAAGACAAGAGAGCAAAGGCCTATCACACCAAATATGTAAAACAACATTCCAGCTCCCAGCAATGCCTATCATAAAATTCACAGCATCAGAGGCAGCAATTCTATGGAAAGCCTGGAAGCTAAAATAAAGATCTGATGGAAAAGATGAGTTTCTGAAAACACATCAAATGGTTAAAATATTCAACTTCTGGATATGTTGCACTCTCCATAGATTTCCCAAATGTCAAAGTATAAGGTGAATCAGTTAACAGCAGTATGTTCAGTTTGTTTTGAATGAAAGTAGTATGTTCAGTTTTTTCTTTTGGTTCAATGATTGACCTGATTTAGTATGATTCAGCAATTACAAGGGGCATGCTTCTCAAGATTAATAGTTATAGTTAACACAAACAGTGATGTTTAAAAGTGCCCTAATGGATAAATCAGTGTTTTTTTTTTTTGGGGGGGGGGGGGTTGGTCACTGAGATCACTTAAATGGTCAAGGGTCATTATGTTTGCGCTACTTTGACATGCCTTGACCAGACATACATTATTCTAATTTCAGCAGCACTCATCTCGCAGTAGTTAGTAGTTAGTCAAAGCTTCTGAGGTTAAAATAAAAATTTTGTACCTAAATTGTGGAATAAGTTTGAACGATGTCTTTAATGTTTTTCCTTTCAAAATTGGTTCTCACGCTTTCCTAGATGGCCCTTAACAACGGAATGCAAATACTTATGGCACTTATGTTAGAATTGTCATGGAAAAAAAAGAAGCATAAGATTAGTTCTTCCTGAGATTTTGCAATTGCCTTAAATGTGGGACATCTCAATGATGACAAAGCAACTTTAAAGCCGTTCGCGAAATTAAATCTTATCACCTTTAATGGAGAAAAGGCAAAGGCGATGAGAGCATTGGCTCCAAAATTGACAAGTATTGCTATGCTAAGTCCTCTCCCTCTTAGGCGCAAAGGGAAAACCTCTGATATCATAAGCCACCCAATTGGACCAAATGATATCTGCAAGAACACAATGAACTATGCAGTTATATGATTTACAGATATCAAATAACATATGAAACCCAGACGACTGGTAGCAATGAGGATTCCAATACAGTTCAAATTGCCTTTATGATAGGACGATGATAGAGAGGATCACATTTCTGAAGTGGTTGATGCAGGGTATAGAGTATATAAATGTCATAGTCAATCAAAAGTTTATTATACTGGGATTCACGCTTGGAATAGAAGATTTAGATGCATCTTTGTTTACAATATCAATTAAAGCCCCTCCTATGAGACCTAAGCAGCTGACAAACTAGGATACTTATAGTGATAGGAATACCACTAGTCCCCCACCAGGCACTGCCATGCTTTTGCTGCTCCCCTGCTACTTGCTAATATTTTGAGACTGGTAATTATCATTATGTTAAAACCAGGAAGGAAAGAAGGCATTACATTCGCATCAACCTGGGGGAAGCAGTAGCCGCATGATCTTCCATGAGCAACAACTGGGCAATCTTTTGTTTGTGTGTGTGCTTGTGTTTCTTTGATAGTGGGCCCCCCCCGGGGGGGGGCACTCAAGACGATGATCCCTGGATTGTGACCATTGGTGCAGGAAGCTAACTCATCCGCAAAAGGTTGAGATTTAGCACAACCTTTCTTAGTTTCCCTTTGTGAGCAGCGAAGTGAGTTCTTTGTGAGCATTCACCATCAACATAGATGACTGCGTCCATTTCTCTTCTTATTTAATATCTATGAGGGTGAATGGAGATTGTATGATCCTTAGCTATTAGCCGGTTGTCACTAACAGCTATTTAACTAACAAAACTAGCATCCTTCAAACTGCACTTTCTCAAGTACGGCCTAGTTTTCTCTCAACTATTATTTCAATGTTCCCTGTATCAGCTACTGAAAACAGGACTGGAAAAACTGGAAGAGATCAGCTGCAACAAGAACTCGGCTGTTTAGATGCACACATATGCTTACGCTTTTACCATTTCTACTTAAAGTTTGCAATTTCAACAAAAATATCTCTTTTCATCGCACCACAATTGCGTATTAAACAGCTTGTTTTTATAATTATCATGGTTAAATTATAATGAATCCAGGAAATCACTGAACAAAATCTTCTATTGGCAACAAATTAGTTCCCAAAGATGAATTTCCAAGATCTTATAGATCAATACATGCATAATGTCCAAATATCCCGTCAATTCTTGTTTCTTTCCCTTCATTTTGACTAACCAACTAACCTTCCCAAAGCCCTAATTTAATCAGTCATCATCATCATATAGTTATAAAGTAAGAGAAGCTAAACTGTTAAAGAATGAAAAATCGTAACAGGAATTGAAATGAACATAGTAATAATATAGGAGGACGTGTGTGTGGGTGTGTGATTTTTATATACCTGATAACACCCCACATACAGCAGAAGACCAACTATCGCAATACTCAATGCATCATTCAGGAATAAGTAATATGAACCCAGAAGGAACAAGGATATAACCTGCCAATCAGCAAACACCGTTTATGAGTCTTAAAATGTAGAGGATTTCTAGCCTTTGAAAGTCTCATGCCTTGATCATTCCATTTCCTTTATTTATGGACAGTAGTCGCAACCAAGCATAAGGAAATAAATCCACAGATAGACAACAGAAAGCTTTGCAATCTCAGGAGATTGTCAATAAATCCACGGAATTTACCATCCCCGAAACTCCTCCAAGCAGTAAAGGTCTCCTTCCAAGACTATCCACAATGACAACAGCAGCAGCAGTCATAATTAACTACACAAACAAATGAAATGGAAACAGAGCTAAGTGCCTTCGTATGGACATTTGATCATAAACAAATGTGGAAGTGGGCAGGAGTGGAAGAGAGAAGAATCGTCCTTTGTCTTTGGTTGACTATAGATAGTAAAAAGAACCAGGTCCAGGTAGACAACCTTCGCTTTACATTTTTTATACAAGCTTTAAGCAAAAAAATATCTAATTCACCAACACAGTTTTACTTTGTTTCTAAAATTCAACAGGAAATTTATAGCTAAGAAGAAGTTTTAAACAAAAAAAAAAATATCAAAACATTGAAAAAGCAGAGAGAATAAAGGAAAGGAAATGTCAAAAAATTTTGTTCCAGCATTCTTTTCTAGTTCTAGTTTCTGAAGATGAATTTTGCATGTACCCCCGGTCTCCCCACCCCCCCCCCCCAAAAAAAAAAAAAGAAGAGCAAGTCTAAATCCTTTATAACACCTTAAAAGAACTCAATAACAAGTGACATGCATAAAAATTCATAGCTTATACCAACACATCATATATGGCTTAATAATTTAGCATGCTAAAAGAAACTTTATTCACACACTTCATGAGACTGTTAATAAAAGCATAAACATAAAATAGGATTTGAATTAACATGATAAAAGAACAATATGTCTACCTTTAGCAAGGCAAGGAGAATAGAGACTCGGGTAGCATCATGGGCCGCGGAGAATCCTGCACTCTACAAATACAAGGTTGAATTATATTACAACAGAAGAATACTACTGTGATGACAGTGTAAAAGATAGGTTCTTTATTAATTGTCACTGAGTTCACTCCAACTAGATTATCTTAATACCTGAAGGATTGATGCAGCATAATAAAGGACACTCGGTTGTCCAGTGATCTGTCATAAATTCCACTTTATAAGGACACCAATTGTAGTCATCTTCAATAATTTGTATTCTTTTTCGTAAGGAATATAATTACCTGCTGAAACAAGAGCAGTCCTGCACCAATCACAACAGCTTTGAAGCATTTTCCTTGAAAAATCTCTCCCATCGTGACTTCTTTCTCTTCACCTACATAATAAAGCTCACCCATAATCTCATCTACTAGCCGAGGAGCTGAGTCGCCAATAGCTGGACCCCTAAGACGGTGCAAACAAAGAATTGCAGCCTCTCTTAAATGTTGGCCATTTCCCTTTTCTTGTATAGCACGTAATAGTAGCCATCTAGGAGAATGTGGAAGCCAACACATGCCAATTCCCATTATGACAGCTAATGGAGTACTAGCACCATACATATATCGCCAGCCAGAAACCATGTCAACAAGAATACTACCAAACCCAAAGCCTACCTGCAAAAGATTATAGACAGTTACCAAATGCAATGCAGGCAGATGTTTAGGAGGGGGGAAGTCTTTATGACAACATATCTAGAACAAGAGAAAAGAAGGGATGATGCAAGCCATCATAAAAGGTAATGTCATGGGAAAACATCATTACATATTTATATCAGGAAAAAAAGGGGTTGAAAATCCAAAGGGAAAAGACAACGAACTTACTATCATTCCAAGAACTATAAAGAACTCTTTGAGAGAAACTAATAGCCCTCGTATCTGTGTTGGAGCTGTCTCAGAAATATATATCGGAGCAGCATGCATCGCCTAAAAGAGATGAAAAATTGCATATCCTGCTTAGAATTACATAGACAGCATTAACACATATAAACACTTGTCTTTGAACATTCTTCCACACAAAATTGTATTTTAGAAAAAGAAGTATAATAACAAGTAGGGAGAATCTGTACACTACTCTTATATTTATGGGACAAGCCTATCCTCTGTATAACTTTTCTGAATGGTCAAATCGCAATATATGTTTTATATCGAAAAGACTGCTAGAATATATCGATACCAATCAGGGGGAATAAAAAAAAAGAAAAGAAAGATAAGAAAAAGGGATATTAGCTAGATGAGAATTACTTCCTGATAACAAAGTAGATGGACCCAATTGCTCTTAGCGGAACATATATATGGGGTAGTTAGGGTATACTGTCACTGTTTAAAAAGGAATAGATCATCACAATAGCAAGGCACTATCTTTCTTCTCTGTGCATGACAAGCTTAGCATGCAGTTAGTATGAAGAATAAAAGACCGCATGTATAACCACATTATTTGTATTTCTATTTTACGAAGTAACAAATCAGCTATCGGCTACAAGCTTACCAGTCCAATCCCCATACCATACACAAAGCGTCCAACCACGACGATAGGAAAACCAACAGCTAGTGCAGTTATAAGTGCTCCAGCAAGATAAAGAGATGCCGCCAAAATCAATTCCCTCTTTCTACCTTCACATCCAATTTGTCACTTAAATTTACTAGGAAAGAAAAATTTGGAAAATGTACATAGCATTATTATTAAAATAGTCACATCACCTAAGAAGTCAGCAACATTGAAGGCCAGCACAGAGCCTGCCAAAGCCCCATATAATGATCCACTTGTCTGCAAAAGTTACCATAGCAATTGAAAGCAAAACATGAGTTCCAGTGCCTCATTCTCAGTTGTATAAAATAAAATAGTGAGCAAATATATTGAATCACAAGGTAAAGAGAGAATCTAGCCACATCTATGGAAAGAACAAGCTTGGAATCAACTTTTAACTTACGATGAGACCTATTTCAACAAAAGTCAAGTTATACCATGATGTCCCACTTAAAGTTGGCGACTGCAGGAAAATACAAATAATAGTTAATTGAAAAGTGAAAAAAAAAAATTATTTTTTTATTCATGATAACGCAATGAAGAAGGAAAAAAATTATAAACTGATGTGTGTTTTCATAATCTCTATATTAAGTTATTCTTAAAGATTAGTAAACAAATAACTGAAAGCATAAAGTAGCATGATTGCCAAGAAACTTCTAACTTAAAACGCTAAATTAACATCTACGAAGAAGAAATACTACTTTAACCCATTCAGTATTGCAGGAATAATACTGATGTTTTCCTCCACCTATTGGCCTATATATGAAAAGTGTCTTTTCTAATTATCACTCAAAACTAGAGTTGGCGAAGGCTCCATTAACTTTCTCGGGAAAAAAATAAAAATAAAAATGAAACTTTAATTTACTCTGGTCATTTCCCCTGCTGGCGTAGCATACAACACTGATTATTTTGCATATCTAGATAACAACAAAGTTCTGCCAAATCAGCATGCTTCCTGCCACCATTTGATGCTTGAATATAAGGACCCTGAGGTATATCTTTCTTTCCTTTTATTTTATTTCTTCTTCTTCTTCTTCTTTTTTTTTTTGGCTTTTTTTTTAAGAGCACTACAGCTAGGGATGATCCTCGTATATCAATAAAAAGCACAGACAATTACAGATGATATTTTACCAAATAAATATTCACAGAAACATTGAAAAATCATCTAGTCATGTTAAAAGACCATACCTGGATAGAAATTGTTGCACACGACGTGGCACCAATATCATAGCCATAAAGTAGCCCTCCAAATGCAGGGAAAAGAAATCTGAAATTTTAAATAAAACTCTTTAAGGAATGCTGGAAAAAGCTTTATGGGATTCTTTTATTTGCATCCATTTAATTCACTTGATTGGAGCATGAAGTCACGGTATGTCAACAGATGTTTCTTCTCTTGCATATCTTATGCCGTAGTTGGTTTTCTTGGCCTCTTTATGATGTTTGGCCAATGGTTATACTCAGGGCACACTATTCTTTAATATGCAGAAAGGTTGGAAAACCTTTTACGTTGATGCTGCCTTTCTTCTTTTGTTATAGTTTGCTTCCTTTTATATTCCTTTAGAAGATGCCTCGTGAAAAAATCATTTACATTTTTAGGCAGGTAAAACACATGAAACATTGGGTACTAGGTGCATCAAATGAAATAGCTCAGCTGAACATAATGAAACCACAAAGATGTCATTAAATGAAGGGATATAAATGATAAGAAATAGCTCGCTGTAGCTGCACACCTTCTCCTCATGCAAACATTTCCACCTTAAGGTAAAAAATTAACTGCAGACTTCAAATGTGGCCACTATTATTCATTACAGATTTGATCATACTTCATCCATAACTGATGTACACAGAATGATAATACCAATGCATGACAATACATACGGAAGGATTGCAGCATGGGCAGAATAGTATTCAGGTCCATGAATCCCGTGAAGAAGAGGCTCCCGAGCACCACCATTATCATGAGATGATGCAATTTCCTAATAAAAAAGCAACAGGTCCCATAAAATATGAAGAACAGAAGCCACATAAAAGCAACAATGATTTTGATTTTTATTGGCATCAAAACAGCATGTTCCTAATGTTCCTTTGCTCGTTCGTATTCAGTTTTCTATTTAGACTATCAAACATGAGATGGTCTTCAAATAGGCTAGTTGTCCGTACTTTAATTTGACTTACTACTACTTGAGTTGGGTGTTTTAAGTTCATAGGTCTTTAATTCCTACATTACTTTCTAAACATCCAGAAAGAGCACAAAATTACTGAATGACACGCTTAAAACGAAGAAGACCAAAACGGAAGCGGGAAGATATGGAGCTCATTTGACGAGAAAAATAAAACTCTCTCTCTCTCTCTCTCAGAGTATGATTCAAGACAAGTTATGAGATTGTTATAAACCCAAATCCAATTTTCGACCACCTAATCCTCCAATCCAGTTGTTCAGAAACCAAACCAATCAACGAACATATTGAACACGAAAGATTCGAAAATAGAGTCGTTGCAGTGAGAGCATAGAAGAGGAGTGAAACCTTGTCGCGAGAGGAGAGACTTTTGCGCGGGATTTCAGACGCCATTGTTGTGGACTACAAAGGCTGAGAAGGACGCCCACCCAAATTGGCTCATCAAGGAGGAGGGAAAATGTCCCGATTATAAGATTATTTACGTAGAAGCCAATGGAGGGCCAACTGGAACAATGATTGATACTGCCTACGTCATATAATCAAGGTGTTATAATTAAGATGGGAGGTTGCATTTAGCCCTCCATTATTATTCTATTTATTTATAGGCCCAAAAAAAAAATATTTGCCATCAGAGGAAAATATTATCATTAGACAAAAGATCTAAAAGAAACAAATACAAGTATTTATTTAGGATCTGAAGTAAAACCTTCAAAATCAAGTATCAGATTGCAAAGTCAATAGAAGTTAAAATTTCAGGTTTCATTTGAAATAACTTATAAACAATTTCAATAGTAATTTATGAAAAATAAGATAAGTATGTGAAAAAAGTTTTGTCTCAATTTATATAAAATATGCTTATAAGTATTTTTAATCATGATTCAAAATAAAACCTTAACGACACAATCAATTACTAAATTCGCTTCTTCTTCTTTTTTTCAAAAATGAAATAAAAATGTATGCTTTAAAGTATTGCAATTAAAATTTATAAACCCTATAATTTTGTTAATGTGGTTAACACATCATCTCTCATTTCAAATATAAGACATTTTTACTAAATGCAAACATATAAAAAAAAAACAGTTAAATAGTTACATAATTTTGATTTTTTTCAAATTTCTCTTTCTTTGATTTTAGGGGGAACGAACCATATTAATGAAAAAAAATTAATTAACCCAAAAATTCCACAGAATGAATTATATACCAAGAGATTTTTCAAAACAGTCTTTTTTTTTTTTTCCTGAGATTCTAGACCATCCATAAACTTCGATATATTCAGATTAATTTTCTCAAATAAGCCACCTGAGAATGGGATAGGGTTGGGGAGTAGATAAAGTTCAACCTAAATTATTCACTATAAATCGTATGACATACCTACATGTCATATAATATAAGTTCCTTTTATTTTAATATTTTTGTCGCTTTTCTTTTCATGAGTCATGCATAATTAAAAAAAATTCCAAAAAATATCTTTAAATTTCATAATTTTAAATCAATCTTGTTTACTACACTGTAATAACAATTAACAATATTTAAAAAGTACATAACAAAACATTTTTATTGTCATTCTGATTTTAAAATTTGAAATTTTATAGGTATTTCTTTGAGATTTTTCCTATTTAAAATGATGAAGTAATATAATTAATTATATAATAAAATTTAATAAAAATTATTAATATTTAAATAATGAGAAAAATTGAAAAATTATATATATGGATAAAGAGAGAGAAGTTCAAAATTAAAGTTTGATTGTTTAAATTCTATATATGAATTGATCAATTTTCATGTGTTTATTATAAAAAATTTGTCATACAATAAAATATTATTTAATTTTTGAATTTCATTTCGTTTCACATGATAAAATATTATTAAGAATTTATTTACCAAAATTCTTAGGAAGTTAGAGTCTTGAGAAAAAGTTTTGAAGCCTCTAGATATCAGAAATAGACACATATAAATATCAACATAAAGAAGTTATTTGCGAACAGTATTTTTAAATTTCAAATAAATGTATGTGATAGGCGTTAATTATAAAAACAAAAATTAAAAAAAATTAAAAAGAAAAAGAACTTATTAAACAGGGAAAAACGGTAGCCGCAGAATGAATCGTTGGAGTGTGGTTTCAGCCGCATTGTGTGACTCAGGGCCGTAAGCGGGAGGGCACAAGCTGCTTTTCCATGCTAAGTGGATTGGCGGACACATCAGATGTTGATTGAGCACATGGGGTTTGCCGTGGGCCCCCTTCACGTTCAGACAAACACAAAAAAAACAACGGAGGCAAGGAAACTTTTCTTGACACGTTTTTTTTTGTTCAAATATTTCATTAATAAATACTTATTTCAACATTTAATACTACTTCCGATCCTTAATGTAGGATCTTATTTGATTTATTTTGATAATAAATATAAGACTTTAATCCACTTTGTCTCTAATATTTATGTATTTTTTCCAAAATAATCTTTCAAACAGTAGTATGTCTAACCAATACATTTGATTAGCAAGGATATTTTAGTAAAGACAACACTTATTTATGACAAATAACTAACTTAACTTCTTTCTTTAATCTCTTCAAATTAGTCGATTAGCTCTTATAATTAGGACCAGAGGTAGTATAAGAATTAGTTTGACATTCAATTTCATCTTAAATATAAGTTATCAATTTATTTTATCTCTCATATTTATCTATTCTTTTCCAAATAGTCGTTAAAATAGTTGTACATATTAAAGGCTCTATCAAATAATAGTTTTAGTTAATATACATAATTAGTAAGGATATTTTAAGAAAGATAACACATATTTATTACAAATACTAGTAACTAATTTAACAAACTTTCTTAATTTACTCAAATTAGTGAATTAGTTTTTATATTAAAGATTAGAAGTAGTATATAATATACTACCTCCGGTCCTTAATATAAGACCCCGTTTGACTTTTAGTTTGATCCTAATTATAAGACCCCAATCCATTTTGTCTCTCATATTTATGCATTTTTTTCAAGATAGTCCTTCTAACAATGATAGTTCTAACCAACACACTTAATTAGCAAAGATATTTAGGAATAACAATACTTATTTGTTACAAATAACTAACTTAACTTACTTCCTTAATCTCCTCAAATTAGTTAACTGGATCTTATAATTAGGATCAGAGGCAGTACCTCATATCCTAGAGCCTCACACTTTTAAGTAAAAGATTTATTTAGATTCGAGACTAATAGGTAATATAAAATTCAATATTTTGAGTAAGTTCGGTTTTCTTTTTTATCTCACGTTATCCATCATTAGTAACAGTGGCTAATTTCCTCGCACTGTAGACTTCTCCACATGCTTTAATACTAGCCATGAGACTTTCTCTATACACACCACTATGGATCAAACCTATTGACTAGATGTTTGGGAAGCCTAGCTACATGCCAACTGTGCTAAACCTCGTGGTTAGGTCCCAGGATTTTTATAAGATTCCGTTTAAGATTGTTCAAACATTAAATGCAATTTTATTAATTTTACCCCTAACTAATTACATTATCTTTTTCTCGGGAAAAACTTAATCAAATTTCTTATATTTATTATGTTAAATTCTCCAATCACACATTATCGAGTGTCCTTTTTGTTTCATATAGATTTATAATTAAATACTATTATATGTTAATATTTTAAAAATAGAATATATGATTATGTGTGATTGAAAAACTTGACATAATGAATATAATTGACTTGACGTAAATATCGTCGTTTTTTATCATGTATTCTCTTTCATGTTATTTTTTTTTCACTTGTCTCTTATTTATAAGGGTATATTTTAAGAAAACAAGTACATTCTTTAAGTATTTATTACTTCTAACTAATATTAACTTTAAATCATGTAATTTGATTATTTAAATTTTATAAAAACAAATGCAGGTAATGCCACCAAATATTTTTACACTGCTGGGACTCTAGACCTTTGACCACACTTGTACAATCCAGCCATTTTTCTCACCTCAATACATTCTTGCCATTTAAATCGAATGTTTGTGTTGAAAAAGTTGAAACCATAGCTCTATCAAAGACACATCAAGAAAATAGCAGTAGCTACTATTTAAGCACAGGTCTCAAATTTGAGCATGTGTAAAAATAGAAAACACCTGAAAAAGAATTATTTTTAATTAGACCTGACAATACTTAAATCTGACTCTGTCAAATAGCCATATAAAAAAAACAATCTACGAGACAATAAAAATTGGAATAAAATTATATATTCATATATAAATTTAACGAGATGATATATATTAAAAATAAAAATATTCTATCTATCTTATACATAAGATCAGTGAAGAGAATCACACACACATATATATCTAAGGTTAGTAGCAAATATACATATATATATATATATATATATATATATGGTACAATATTCGAAAAAGGGTTACCTGATTACATGAGCCAATCCAAACTTAAAAAATATCAAATCTATGAAATGTTACTCAACTCACGCCAATCTTTATTTTTCTCCGTCTCCCTAGCATTAGGGATGATCTAAATCCTATATGAACTTTTCGCCCCCAAAAAAAAAAATCCTATATGAACTTTATTGATTTTTTTTACAAGATTTTATTTCCAGAAACATCTCTAAAATCTTTTACCTTGAAACATTGAAGGACTCAAATTCATACAACCAAAGATAAATATTATTTGGGCAATTCATAAGAAGAGTAAATAGATGCTACAGTAGAACAAATGAATGCTATGAGAAGTAAGCTAGCAGATGCATTTGCTTTAGCAAAGAAGTCATTGAGGTTTAAATTCAGTGTGTCATCAAATATTCTGTGCACATCCTGAGATGCCCCAAATCCTGCTGCGGCACCTGTCGCTAACAGATATGATATTATCTGTCCAAATTAAAACAAATTATCAGTACATTAAGAATATTTCTTATACTCGTAAATCTATATTTTTATTTATTATATTATGAATTAATATAACAGTAATATCCGTTGATATTAAAAAAAAGAAAAAGAAAAAAGAAGGAAATCCTCTTACAACTGCTTACAATGAATCAAGTCATGTGATGTGGTTTCTGTTTATTGACATTTTGACCTCAATTCCATACGAAGAAGTCGTCCAAATTGAGATGAATTGGTCCTTCACAATCACTAATCCTATGTTTGGACTTTGGATGGGAAAAAAAATTAGAGGGGAAAGAATACTATAAGAAAAGATTTTTTAAACCATTTTTGGAATTTTTTGGGGAAAATAACAAAAAGGAACCTTAAACATAGAAAATTTCAAAAAGAGCAATTAACACTTCAAAATGACAAAAAAAGAAAAAAGCCTGAATTGGAATTATGAAAATGTAGGAAAATAGCCAATATGTCCTTATATGACCAAGATGTTGCTTTAAGTTATATTGTTGTTGTTTTCAGTTTTCAATTTACAAGTTATATCCTAATGACAGGTTTTGTTTACCAACTTAGAACTTGTCATTTTCAGTTTTAATG